TTAATAATAATAATGTAATAATTCTATATATTAAAAATATATAGTATAATTAATTTATTATTACAAAAATCAAGAAAATATGCTAATTAAATTTCCATTAAAATTTTTTTTAACGAGATTATATAAAAAGCCTGTTTGTGAAAAATAATTCTTAATATTAAGTAGCACAATTAATTTTATTTACTTCAATGAATTCTAATTTAATGAATTCATCAATTCCTTTTTAAGAATTTAAAGATTTAATGAATTCTAATTAATTTTTCATTAAAATTTTTTAAACGGGACTATATAACTTTAATTTGTGAAAAATAACTATCAATTCTAAGTAACACAAATTTTACAATATATTCAAAAACAAAGAATAGGAAATATCATTATTTTTTTATTAATTCATTAAGAGTTAAGCCTCAAAATGTGTTGATTGTTAAGAGAGTTATAGATTTCTCTCTGGACAAAAACCTTTTATATTTAACTTTTTACAACATACGTATAATGTTATGGATAAGCTGCACTGATAGATAAGCTGCTCTGATTATATTCAGCCGATTATATTACATTTATTATTATTACTATTATTTTATTTTAACCTGCTGTAACGTCTTGGCCTATACTAGGCCTATAACGGCATCAAGAAGTGGCCCACTTTCAGGAACATGGAAACACTTTTAATTTTTATTTATGAGCACTATATATATATATATATATATATATATTCCTGTTTCATGCTGACATCAATAAATATTAAACAGTAAAAAAAATTATTAAACTATTTGTAATCTGTATGAATACATATATAAAATAAAAATGAAAATCTGTCTGAATAAATATATAATAAGGTTTAAAAATACTTTCATGAAACTCTAGTCTGCCTGAATGAATTTACATCAAATGTCTTTTTGACACTGATACTTAATGGATGTTAAAATCTTTTAAAAATAAATGTTAAAAAAAACATCGATAGTTACTTTTATGTGGTTTTTTTTTGTATTGTAACAGTATTTCCACCTACACCCATGTTTCCTCCTACGCACTGTAAGAGCACCAATTGCAGCATTCAGAACTCATCAGTAAGCTTCCAAACTCGTCCTAGAGGAACGTACAGCGCAACTGGCGCTGAGTTACGAGCTCTTATCCCCGAGAGCTCCTTCCACAACTGTATAATTATCTGCTACTTTAGAGACGGTTAGTTTGCAGTCTCTCACCCTGAAAGAAGATATAGTTAGCACCATCCTATACAAAAATTGGCCTACAGACTCTCATCCAGAGTGGAAATATATTTCATATCCAGCGTGTACCTGAGTAACTTTATTTATAGCTTAGAAGAGGATTCCTTCCACTCAAATATAAGCATATGTCTTTAAAAGTGTTAACTGCTGTATATTAATTGTGGTAGTGCGTCGTGTTCGTGTGTTCGTGTGTGTTGTAAAAATTAAAATTATTTGCTAGCAAATATAAGTCTCAACTTGACCACACCCAGATCGAGCTGCACAAATAAACGACGACACAACGACTATAGTATTTAATATATCTATAGTCGTAAAAGATCTAAAAAGGTACTAAACTTTTACTTCACTTTAAACTAAATTAAAACTGTAAAATTTATAAATGATAATTAATATAGTATTTAAAAATAATATATATATATATATATATATATATATATATATATATATATTTATATATATATATATATATATATATATATATATATATATATATATATATATATATATATATATATATATATAATTATATATATATATATATATATATATATATATATATATATATATATATATATTTATATATAAAATCTGAGTTATTATAGAAAGAAATGAAAATTAAGAATATAAAATTTCATCACAATTGCACAATTAAATCACAAATACAATTCACTCTAAGTCGGAGTTTTCAGAGTTCTCGAGTCTACGTCAAATCTCAAAACAAATGGTCTGCGGGAGACCTAAACTATCACAAGGCTTGATACACGAAAACACAAGGGGCTCACTTTGAAAACAGGTGGAAACTCCGATCTGTCCTGCCACTTCAGAGAAAAAGACATACTTCTTATCTACTTGTCGCAGAACTCTCTCCGAACTTCTCCTAAAACCTCTTTTAAGAAAATCCGTCAAGAGGAAAGGGGTCAGCTTCCGTCACATCTTATTGTTGTAGACATTTTCGCAGCTCATAGTCTATCACCAATCATTTTAAATCTGTAATTGTTTCGACCTGTGAAGGTCGAACAGGCAATCGCTAATTTCATGAGGTCTCATTATCCATGACACTGAATATCTGCTGTGATTTGAGTGTTTTCATTTGTACAAACACTAATTGCATGTAATATAACCAATAACAACACTGATCTACTGTCAAATTTGAGTTACGGGCTGTTATTATGTACTTGTCAAAAGAATATACATTCCTCTATCCTGGGAATAAAATACTGCAACTCTTCCCTTGGAAAAGTGATATATTGCAAATACCAGGCCGTGTCTGTGAGTAAGTGTTAAAATATAATAAATTTTAATTATATAAAAGAAGAAATTCTTTATGTTTGATTTATTTGGTGTATAAACTTAAAATGTTTTTTTAAATTTTTTTATAATTATTTAAAATCCATTTCTTACGATATCAAAAATTTCAGAATTTAGTGTGTTTTAAAAGGATTGTTACTACACTGGATTCTAAAAATTAAGCAACAAACTGAAAACTAATGATAACTGAAAAAGTATGCAGTCAGAGTGGAACGAAACCTGGTGATTATATGTATTATACCACTTAACTTAAACACGAGAAAATTTTATGCACAATATTTAAATTTTGTAATATCGATAGCAATATAAAATGTCGAATATCCTACATGCTGACATATAAATTAAACACAAAAAAAAAAAAAAATCTCAATGGTGATTTTGATCACTTCTTACAGGAGACTCATGTTGATTATGATGATGGGAATGAATTCCATAAATACTAATGCCCATGTAAAATCATGATCATATTAAAAAATTCTATGATCATTCTTCTAAATCTTTGCATGGCTTGGACAAAACTGGAGCTAGAAATTGAGGGCAGCAATATAGCTTCCCAGAGTGTCCCACACACGCTCAATGGGATTAAAGTCGGGAGAGCGTGGTGGCCATTAATTATTAGTTCGCTAATATTTTCATTATAACATGAGTTTGACTGAAAAAACAATACACATTTTTATTGATATTTAACATATCCTGAAGCACTGCTTAACGCTTTCTCTAGAAACAAGAAATCGAATGTTTTGGTGTTGAACTTTTTATATTCTTAATAAAAAAACTGAATATAATTTAAAATAATTAAAAAAACAAAAAATAAATAAAATCTATTAAAGTTTTTATGAACTTGCGTTTTCATTTTCTGATAAATACATCATATTATGAATTCCAGAAAAAAAAAAAGAACTGGTAAATTTTTTTAAAAAATAACAATGAATGTGTTTCACAACAAAACATGAAAATTGGTGAATGAAAACATGAATAGAATATGAAAATTGCAAATGTTGTTTAAAAAATGGAAATATTTAATCATTTTGTAGATAAAATTTTTGTATAAAAGTATTATTTGTATTATTATTATTACGTTAACTTTCTTTTGATTTTTTTTTTTTGTTGTTCTGATATTGTATGCTCATGCCGTAATTCACAAACTGGGTGACAATTTTAAAGTGCCTATGTGATAGATTTCCAACAATAACTTTATAAATAAAGGAAAATAAATGTCATTGTATCATTTAAATTCATAATTAAATATTTGAGGTACGATGAAACTTTTGTTACAACAAAATGTTTTTAATGACACATAGATTTTAGGAAACATTTGAAAGTAAGCAAAAATAGGTTTCATAAAACATTTGCAAATAAATACAGCTGAAGGGAAATATTTCAAAACCATAAATCCGTTTTTCATGAAATAACTTTGTGTAATGTTTAACAATATATATGTTTTTATACATCAAAATGACCAACAAAAAAAGTAAATTTTAAGATGGTATTATAAACTAAGTAAAACGAACATACTCCAGTGCTTGAGTATATGTAGTTTTAAATTTGTTCTTACTCGTGATTTGGAAACGACTTCATGCAAATGTTTTATTTACGTATATGACTGACGTAAATATTTTTGATTTGATTTACGTCTATATCATTTATATTCTTTTTTCTCTGTAAACGAGTTCCAATGCTGTTTTCTTAATAATATCACTTTTTACTTACAGACGAAACTGAAGAATTGTTTTCGCATTTTTATATACATCAGGTACTTTGACATTTTTTAAAAAATATTTAAAATTTTGTTTTCCGAGTAATGAAAAAAAGAAAGGAATATCGTCATGATAAAACGAATACTAGTATTTTATAATGAAGTAAGCAAATATTTTTTGATATTTTTGAATGCTGTCTATTTTTGTGGTCATATATACGAAGACAGAAACTAAGATCTCACAGTCTGTAAGCATCAGTTATTAGACAATTTAAGTTGTTTAATTTGTTTTTATTGTGCTTGGCCGTACTTAGTCCTTATTCGTAGTAGCTGAAGGTATGCAAAGTTTTAACTATTAATTTTGTATATGAGATATTTTAATTTTTTTTACTTAAAATAATTTAGTTTTTTAAAATACTTTTTGACTGTCTTATAAATTGAGCAATTCGATGACATAATAATTGTTAAAATAATACCAATAACAGCTTGATTATCCGCCCATGTAGGCTAGATTATGCAACTTATCGAAGAAAAACCATATTCTGTGTTTGTTGTTGTTTCTATCCCACTTGGCTGGCCAAGCCCACGAGCCCATACGTACCATGGTTGAAGGGGAAGGAAGCAGCTTCTGTTGTGATGGAGCACCAGTAGGTAGAAGTGGATTCCAAAACCACTACAAAACATCCATGGCACCGCCGGGATTCGAACCCGAAACCTGTGGCACCGAGCGCCAGAGACACTCGGCCATTCAGGTCCTAAATGTGAATGCCAACGGCATGCGGTGTTCCCAGGTGGTCACCCACCACCAAGTACTGACTCCGCGCCCAATAATGCTTTACTTCGTGAGCTAACGAGAATCGGTACATTCAGCATGGTATGACCGTTGCCAATACATTGTTGCCATTGTCGTATGCCCTCATGTAAGGAGGAGGGCAGCTTCTGTTGTGATGGAGCGTCTGATTGCCTCATGCCGCAGTAGAAGAAAGGCAGTGCTCTTCCCGAAATAGCGTTTTAGGGGGAACTAACCTCTATGCATGCATTGTAGGGAAGAAACCCCGGAAAACTCCCATCAGATAATCAGACTAACGAGGTAAGATGCTGAACAACACAAAGACCTTCAAATCTCCTCCTTTTGAAACAGTGTTTACAACACAGCCACCATTGATTGATCATCCGCCCTAATTCTTATGCCACAGAGCATATTAAGCATGAAAGAGGCTTCTTGACAAATTCTCCAGCTTTTTTTCTTTTTAATGCAGCTGGCAAAAGACCGTGATCTTCGCCATGAGGGCTGCACCGATGTTACCCACTTTGCATTACTTGTGTAACTTGATGGTAAGCCACGGACTGCTGTAGTAACTACCTCTACTATCCTATTAGGACTGGAACCACGGTTTAAAAGATCCCGAACCGCTACAACACCATGAAGCAAAAGCAGGGATTTGAAACCTCCAGAGACACCCAGAACGAACTAACCATTCAACAGGCACCCCCATTCCCAAAGAATAAATGGAAAACAGTGTTCAGCGCCCTAACCAGACACTAAAACGACCATAGTCTTGCTTGACAGTAAAGCTTAAACTAGCTTTATACTATGGATGTCTCTATGTAATCACTAAATTTTACGTGAATTCATTAACTCGTGTAAGATGCAGTTGATAACTTATATATGATCATGTGTCAACCATGCCAATATGAAATTATCTTAAAATTATTAAGATCCAAATCAATTATTCATTTTTTTGTAAATATAATAATACCCTGAGAAAAGAAATTCATTTACAAAGTTAATTGTCGTCACTTTATCCAGAAGTCCTTACCATTATGAATTCAATAACTGCAAAATAATCAGCAGTAAAATACTTAAAACTTTAAAACATTAAATACATTTAGACAAGACTGCCTGATAATCGAGCACACTGTCAGAGAGTTCGAAACTTCACAAACCACAATATTTAGAAATTAAGAAATGATTTGCGTCTTCATTAAAAGCGACTCAACACTAAAATAACACAAAAATATCAAGAACACACACATCTTGACACCTCAAACCATGTGTTAATTTTTATTGTTATTTCCTCAATTATAAACAACAGATTTTTAACTAAGCTATAAATCAAAATGCTTAGAGTAAACAAAAAATCAAAATATTTTTAAAAAGTAACAAAAATGTGCCTTTTAATTTCAGCCATGAACAGAATAAAACATTCAAAAGTAAATCTCCAAAAATATGTCAAAAGTTTATTTGTTCTATATCAAACTATAAAGATACCCACCATAATAAACCTCTAGCAGCCCAATAAATTAGCCCGGCAAAGCCGCCAGAATTAACTCATAAAATCAAGCAGCCACATGTTGCCAAATGTAAAAAGTCCATGGCTTCACCCGATTGAGTACCAGGAGACAGGACACATCATTGTGAAGCAAACTCACATGGTGTGTTTCTATTAAGAAAATCATGTCCAGTCCAGGGAGGAGTCTGGAAATTTGCTGTGAAAAACCTGTGAGTGTGTAACCATAGGGCGGTAATTTTTTAGAAACGCATATTCCGCGTTTTTTTTCCAGTTTGTGGCTTGCTTCGTGCCTGCTCTTTTAATGGGGCCGTCTTACGCCTTCCCCATACCAGAGCCAATTGATGGTACAGGACAGTATGAATGTGGGCTGTTGTAACTTACATGTCCGCTTCAGTCAAGAGGTCTTTGGCCTTTTTTCTAATTTCCATGCCACTCCTCGCATGGCTTTTCATGGAATCAAATGCGTCAAAGTATAACTAATATATCACTACCAACTCAATATGAGTCAAAGTAATAAAGTCCTTCGTATATATTGATGAAACACAATATTAGTATTGTTTCTTCACTTCTAAAAACTGCTTGCTAGATAAGATTCTGACCCGTTAGGTACTGATATATT